GTTCTAATAAACAATAACGGGGACAAAGGACAGCTCTGTCTTGTACCTTTTTCAATTTGAAAAAAGTCTGTTAAACTTCCATTGACTATGATTTGTGCTGTTTGCTGTTGGTATATTGCTTTAATTGACTGTAAATTGACAGACATCTCCTATCTGCATTTTTTGCAATATCTTCAACAGAAATTGCCAATTAACTCGATCGAAGGCCTTCTCAGCATCCAAAAATATGAACGCAGCAGGAATTTGGTTGTTCTTTCCCAAATATTCTAATGCATTAATAATTAATCTAACATTACTTTTCATCTGTCTCCCCTGTATAAAACCTGTTTGGTCGGTGTGTATCAATTGTTGAATAACCAGCATGAACCTATTTTCTATTATTTTAGTAATAATTTTATAATCTACATTAAGTAATGAGATAGGTCTATAATTTTTTGGTTGGGTGGTATCTTGATCTTCTTTGGGTATTAAAGATATAAACGCTGTCTTCCAAGATGGAGGCACCTTATTGCAATTCTTGACTAGGGTGCTTTAGGAATTCTTACCATTCCAAAATTAAGTGGCTCCTCAGAATGCTTTGTTTCTCTTCTTCATGTTCACGTGTAAGAGAACAGAGTAGTGGTGTATTTTAGAAATTTGCCTTTTTCTCTCAGACCTGTGACCTGCATGCAAGACTAGCAGAAGATAGAACGTCTGGTCAGAGCATTCAAGGGGAAATTATGATTTTGACATATAAAGTGAAAGCTCTAAGAATTTTTTTACAGCAAAGAATAATCATATCCTTAGCAGCTGTTCTAAGCTGTTGGGGAGTTCTCTCAGATACAGATGAATGAATTTGTCCCTTTAGACAACATTGTTAGCAGTGCTCCCTTCTCATTTAGGGAGATGGTAATATGCATGTCTTTTTTCATTATACCAAATAACACATCCACATGTATGTCTATATGTGTATGCATGTATATGTATATGTAAAATTTAAAGACAAATAGTGATAGCTTTAGTCCTTCCCACCTCAGCATGGATAAACATTTCATCTTATTTATCCTTTGTTGTATGCTGGTTGTATTGGTATAAATGTCTGTAGTCTTACCTTAAATAGTAGTTTATAGTTGACTTAAAATAGCACATAAAAAGCCATTCTTTTTTCAATTCCTTTTTCTGCATAAGCCTGTTTTTGAAATATGTTCTTGAAGTTCTTGAAATATGTTCTTCTAAATTCTTTATCCTGTTACAAAAGAATTGCTTAAATTAGAATGAGCAATATATTATGTTTTTATTTACTACTGTCCTTAATATTTTCATATGATCTTCTTTCTGTCTTACACTTATGGGTGTATAACACCCATGGATGTAAATAGACATCTTTAAAATATTTAATACATAAAAACAGAAAGAAGGAATATGTTTTTAAATATTTTAAGAAAGCAATTTATTTTTGTAACTTTTGAATAATATGAATAGTTTGATTTGTTACACAAATTCAAATGTAGTTTTGAATTACAAATGTATATTGCCTTGTCTGTTATTTTTCTGTCTCCAAAAAGCAGACTATATGATACATAAGCTACTAAATCTCAGATCCCTCCAGGAAATCTTCATTTGGCCTTTTTAAATTAGGGTTTTGAAGCATAGCTTGCATCAAAATTAAATGTTTATATTTGTGACCAAAACACAGCACTGTCCTACTCATATTACTCAGGAGACATAGGGGAAGAGGAATTTCACATCTGTTTCTCTTCCTTTCTCTTTGTTTCTTCCCATCTTATAACTCCCATTGCCTTTCCCCTCTCCAGAAGCTCCCTGGAGAATTATTTTAAGAGGAAAATAGAAAAAAATCCCATTATGCCAGCAGTATTCATTCTACTTGCAGATGGACACCATTGAATTAATTAATAGTACACAATAATACATTTGATGCAAGTCTACTGTTATTGTTTAGTAAGTTGGCATAGATTTCAGCTGTGACTGTAATTGGAGTATAAGTGTGTCATATCAGCTAATAGATGTTGGAAATGCAAACTTGTGATGTACTCTGCAAACTATCCTGATCTTTAAGAATTAATTGTTGATAATTGATAATCAACAATCAATTAAACAATGGGTTAAACTGTATGAAGCAGTTTATTGACTAAGACATTTAGGGAATTCCTATAGACATAGAAACTATTTAGCTTGGATTTGTTCATAAAAAAAACACATTTTTGATTCTCAAGTATTTCTGGGGAAAAAACTAAACTGCATATTTAATCCATAATTATTCTACTCAAAAATCCTTTCCTTAAGCTTTTAAATAAAAAATAAAGTTTGGAAATTGAAAACAGGGAATTTTAAATCTTGTTTTCATAAAATGGTGGTATGCTTATCTAAATGTTCCTTTGATATTTATTAAGATATTGTTTTTGATTATTAAAGCAAACAGATAAGATTATCCCTTAATTCTCTCCATTTCCTTCTTTTGATTCCCCCCCCCCAATAGGTGCACTAGGCCTTCCAATGAGGGGGATGAGCAACAATACCCCTCAGTTAAATCGCAGCTTATCACAAGGCACTCAGTTACCAAGCCACGTAACACCAACAACAGGGGTACCAACAATGTCACTTCACACGCCTCCATCTCCAAGCAGGTATTTATTGATAACAAATATTTCCCCAGGATATTTTCTATTATGTCATTTTATTTCCTTAGAAGTATTTGCATTCTAGATATTTTTGAAATAATAAACCAAGTGTTTGTTTCCTGGATTGTTGCTTCTGCTTTGTGAACACGTAGGGCAAAAACTTCTAATGCAATATTGATTCTACTACAGAAAATAATTTATACATTTTATTGATGTAGATAGGTGGATGCTTTTAGGAAAATCTTGCAGCATTGATAAAATAGTTGCTTGGTGTGTAAGCAGCTGTATAAACTTAATAATTAAAATACATTTAAGTAAAATAAATAAAATACATTTTATATAATGAAAGTGTTATTGCTGGCATTACTTGATGTTATTCAGGATTCCAAATTCAAGTAGGAATTGTAATTTTTGTACATTAGCTTTAGGGGTTCTTGGACTTCCTTCCTTCAGCGGCCCTGGCTGTTCCTTAACTGAAGCTTAGGGACCTGCAGTGAATTTACTAACAGTTCTATTTATTAAGTAATAAAATATGTTTGCTGCAGCATCCTGAGGCACCATAGTGCACAGTCTGGGAACAGTTCTAGCCTATTAAGACCATACTGATTTTTCCAAGTTCATGTAGAGCTTTCATGGAGCATAATTGAACTTGGGAGCTCAGTATGAATCTAAAATTTCAAAAACACTACCAATTACTATTGATACAAATGAAAAAGATGGACAACTGGTGGTCTTCATTATAAAATGACTCATTTCATGTGTGTATAAAATGTCCTCTTAGAAACGATTGGCTTGGACAAAGTAGAAATAATGATACGTTGACATATTCATTATTTTTTGTATCATATTTTTCAGGGGTATATTGCCTATGAATCCTAGGAATATGATGAACCACTCCCAGGTTGGTCAGGGCATTGGAATTCCCAGCAGGACAAACAGCATGAGCAGTTCAGGTTTAGGCAGTCCTAATCGAAGTTCACCCAGCATAATTTGTATGCCAAAGCAACAACCCTCTCGACAACCTTTTACTGTGAACAGGTATGATAAATTCAGGGTAATACATCCTATGTTATATGAAGGTCATTCAGTAACACAAAGAGTTTCCATTTTCATTCCTCTCCATTCCTATGCACACTACTTTTCTGATAAAGAAGTGGAGCATATTTCAAAATGTACAACAGGCAGGTAAATTGTGTTTTGCTATGGTTTTTTCATCACTGGAATGATATAATATCCTTAGTTCTGAGCAAACTCCTCATGTTTTACAAATTAATCTTCTTTCCAAAATTATTTGCTATGTCATATGTGACTTCTGAAGTCTGTTTTGGATTAGACTCTCTTTCATTACATTTTTCCAATCCAAGATTAAAAGATTGTGGGGGGAAAGCAAATATTAAGTAGGAATTCATGGTTTATTTTTCTTTTTTTAGATTCCTTAAGGCAGGTTTTTCCATCATTATATTAACTCCCTGAGCCGCCCTGAGTCACCTCAGGGAAAAGGGCGGCATATAAATACTCAATAAAACATAAAAACATAAAACATAAAACTCAATGTATCAGTCTTGGTTACTTGTTGACTGACGATAGTAATTATTAACACTTGTTTAGGAAAATATCTATATCAAATACAATGTTTCTAAGAAACAGGTAAATAGTGTTAGAATTACTCCTGTTTCTAATAGTTTTCCTCCCGGCGTGTTTAAATTACCAATTAGAGATTCATTTTCAATTAAATGATTAAATTAATATTTGTGTTGCATCTGATCTATTATGGACAACATATTAATAAGCATATAATCTTATATTCATAACTAAGTCCTTTCTCAAGCATAGGTGATACAAATAAACCAGTGGTATATTCCTCTTGAATTGTTTTTTATATATAAAAAAGAAAAGGCTAAATGGGGGGAAAAAACAGTTGGTGACAGTGAGAAACAAGAAGAAAGACAAAGTAGAAAGAGCCCTATTCTTATGAATTATGAGATGTGACATTAAGGAAGTATCTTTATTGTTTGTAAACCATGTAAAGGTTAGGGTTAGGGTACATAGATGATATGTACTGTTGTAACTTCCTGAAGTAGTTTTGGATTTCTTTGATTCTTAAAAGCTTGTGGGGCTGATCATGCTTACATATCTTCACAGCTGCATTTTACTTTCAATTCTGTTTTGTAACAGATAGTATCAGCCCAACATTTTTTATGATAACCATTTGTTTCAAACAATAGCCTTGGAACACACAGAGTGTTAATTTTTAAATGCTTTATATCCAATTCAGTTTATATTTCATGGCACCTTTTGATGCATTAACATAACAATGTGCAGTTATGTCCTGTTAAAGGTTGCAGTACTGAGGTTATAATTCTTGGATAGCATTTATGGGCTGACTCTTCCATCAGGCTCCTATCTGGTTTTGGGATATAGTCATTAATATAGTTAATATAGTTCATAGATGGGTTATCAGCCTAGATTATTACCAGTTTAGAAAACAGAATTTAATTTCCAATTGGAGTCAGTAACCCACTTCCTATTTTAGCCAGAGTGTTTATTCACAAATGAGAAGCAATTGCTACCAACCAGATGATAACCATTTATTGCTAGTTGGTTCTATTATCAAGACAAGATATTCTTTTATGTTATCTTTAAATTGATCCATTGAGGACAATACCAGCGATGTGCTTGTTTTGTATATTTTTTTAATCTCCTGCAGTTCAAACTAAGGTGATCTATATTTATTTAGAAGATTATTTAGAGGATATATGTAAGCTTTCTTTTTTCTGTTTTTGTTTATGTTAGCATGTCTGGATTTGGAATGAATAGGAATCAGGCATTTGGAATGAATAACTCTTTATCAAGTAATATTTTTAATGGAACAGGTAAGCCTATTTTAAATCCTCATTCTTTAGAGTTTCATTTGGAAGCTTATTGTGTGTGTATTTTATGTTACTTTCTCAGTATTTGTATAGGTATTCATAGTCTTCAGTAGACTTCATTTTCATAAGTGAAAGAGGTGATTCTGCCAGTTTTTCCATAGCCCCTTATATCCTTTGCCCTCCAGTTTTAATAATGAACCAAATCCACTAATCCATATGTTGCCATAGATGTCTAGTATCTGCAAAACTGAATGAAGCAGAATGTAACAGTTCTGGAATCATAGGCTTTTTGTATTTATTTATTACATACATATATACTGCCCAACTCAATTTGATCATGTTATTGGGCAGTATACAATAAACAAACCAAAGGGAAATTCAAATTACAATTAAATCTACAATATAAGCAAAAAAAAGTGTCTGCTTATTCCCAGCTAGTAGATATTCTCACACTACCCAGGAACAGAAAAGCCTAGGTTGAATATCTTGTAGTTTTTGGATCACAAGTATTAGTTGGTTTTCATAGGATAGGAAAGGTTAATTGAGGTCATTTATTTCTATGCCCTGCTCAGTGCAGGATCTGCTAAAGCCTTTTGGACAGATGCTTATCCTGCCCCCAGCGAAGAGGACATGCTACTTTTTGGGGCAGCTATTCCACTGGTTCACAGTTCCTATTGCCAGGAAGTTTCTCATAATATTTAACTTGACTCTCCTTTCCTGTACTTTAAGTTATTGATTCAGCTCTTGTCTGAATATGGGATAATAGATTTCCTCTTTAGGAACCTGAAGACTGCTATTATGTACTTCAGTCTTCTCTTCTGTGGGCTAAACATGCACAGTTTTTTAACTGTTTCTCATAGGGCTTGGTGCTTTCATCATCTTAGTGTTCTCTGATGCACTCCCATTTATCAGTCTTTTTTTTTAAAAAAAAACTGTGATGCCCAGAACTATGCAAAATACAGTAGTGTGGAAAAACGATTTCCCCTGATCTGGACTATATGCTCTTGTTAATATGTTCCAAAATAGCATTTACCTTTTCAGCAACACTTCATCACACAGCTGGCTTATATAATATATCTATAAGATCTTTTTCACATGAACTTTCCCATCTTATACTTTTGTGCCTTTCTCAGATGCAATTTTTTACATTTCTTCCTGTTAAATTTCATCCTGTTTATTTTTGAGATCCAGTGTTCAAACCTATTTAGATCTTCTCTTTCTCTTCTGAAGTTTTAACTATTCCTCCCAGTTTTGTGGTATCATAAATTTTGATCATCATTCCCTCAGTTTCATCGAGGTTATTATTAAAAATGTTGAAAAGCACATTGTCTAGCACAGAGCGCATTTGATACTACACTCTAATCTAATATAGATGGCCAATGAAGGTGTAATTTCACTTCTGAAAGTAGACATATAAAATATGAGCTTCTCTGCCTTCTGTTCATCATCCATCACCAATTTATCTCTTTCTGCTCACAGCAGACCTTATTTTGCCTTTTTGTTTCTGATGTACACCTCACCCCCTCCAAAAAGCCTTTTTGTTGTTTGAAGTATTTCTTTGCAAGCCTCCGCTCATTCTACACTTTAGCCTTTCTGAAACATACCCTACAGTTTCTGCTGATTGCCTTGTATCCTTCCTTACTGCCATTCCTTCCACTTTGTATCCATATCCCTTTTTCTTTTTAACATTTAGACAGTATAAATGTATCCACATGTTCTCTTAAGATGTCTCCAGTTTTTCCTTCTGGTACAAATTGTTTATACTTGTGCCTTCGGTACCTTGTTTAGTAGGATTTCCCATTCTTTCCAGACACTTTTCTCCTCAGGATTTCAAGCCTGATCCCTCCTACCTTCCGTCTGAATTCAAGAAATCCAGTATACAAGTCTGACTCTTCTCTATTCCTCCTCCCCCTGATATCATGAACTCAAGGATAACCTGGCCATTTTCTCTCAAGGTTCCTGTCACCTTCACTTCTTCAATTCCTCCCTGTTGGTAAGGATTATGTCTGGGATATCTTACCCGTTTGTTCTTTCTACCATCTTCTGACAAGTGAAGTTGGCAGCAAGATAGGACAGGGATTTCTTGGACCTCTGACTCTTGGCATAGATAGATTTCCAGCAGATATAAACATATTTGAATTCTCCTGTTTTTAGTATCATGTGCATGATACTACATAAGGCTAATACTTATCTTTTAAGCTTGTTTCTTTTAGAGGCTAAATCACTATTTGTTCTTTCCTTCTCTCTCCTCTACCCCATGTCTTCTTTCTCCCAAGCTACAGGTATCGTAACTTGGAAGAAATGGAATATAATTATCATTAAGTTTCTACAGAATTGTGTATTTATGATATGTATGTATGGTTCTCCAAATACATTATTGGACATTTATAAACTTAAAAACAACATATTTTATTTTAGATGGCAGTGAAAATGTTACAGGACTGGATCTTTCAGATTTTCCAGCACTAGCGGACAGAAATAGAAGGGAAGGAAGTGGAAATCCAACTCCATTAATAAACCCTCTAGCTGGAAGGGCACCCTATGGTGAGTGTGAATCTGGTGTCCTTACAGTAATGATAATATGATATCTTAATAATTAATAACAGCTTTTGCTAAACTTAACCTTTGGCCTAGGGTTATTATTTATTTAATCTGTCTTTTGCCTGAGAAATGAAGGTTCCTAAAAGAAAATTGTCTGTAAGTTATTTAGCTGCCACTCCAAAACCTGTTTGCTGTTAGTAAATGCATAGAATTGAGTGGAATTTTGAACAGACAAGTATAAAATGGTGTGGGTTCAACACACCCAATACATCGGCTCTGTCACATATCTGGTACCAAAGGCTTGAACATAAAACCAGATCTTCAGGGCCTTACAAAAGGCCAGCAGGGTGGAGACCAACTTAATCTCAGAAGGAATGATGTTCCAGAAGTCAAATGTCATGGCATAAAAGGATCTTTTTCAACATCTTGCTGTCTGATACTTCTTGGCTGATGGTGCTTACAGCATGTCTCTCCTGCCAGAATGAAGGACACATAGAAATGAATGAGAAGAGGTGGTTTTGTAAGTAACACCACCCCACCCCCCCGCCAAGTGGGACTTTAAAGGTAGTCACCAGCACCTTTAAAGATGACACCAGAGCCTAGAAAATTAATTTGGTGTAGTAGTTAAGGCACAAGACTAGAAGCCAGAAGACCGTGTTTTGTTTCCACCTTAGGCCCAAAGCCAGTTGAGTGACTTTGAGGCAGTCATTCTCTCTCAGCCCAAGGAAGGAGGCAATAGCAAAACAAAATATTTCTTTGCAAAAAAAAAATGCAGGGACTCATCAGAGGCAATAGGAGGCAAATCTAGATGTCCTAGTTATCATGGTATACCTATATTGGTGATAAATGTAGGAGCCCAGAATAGATTAAGATCCTATTGTAATACATATGAAATACTAAACGGTAAATATAAATAGTTTTTCTTGTTCTCTGCAAGGAAGAGTAACAGAGGGCAAAGACTTAGAATCAAGACAAGCTAATTTCAGAATAAGAAAGGATTCCTTCACACAATCCTTCACTCTAAACTTACAAAGGTTCAGCATGAGGGGACTCGGCTGATATAGACATTTTGTCCAGCTCTACCTTGTGTATCCAATGTGTGTGCATAAACTATACCTTTGTTCTTAGATATAATTAGTTTTAGTAGTTCAACCATGTATTTTCTTCTTACAGTTTTATACTTTCATTTAGTTACTATAAATCATTAGTACAATTTGGAATATTACAAATTATGTGACTATATTGTAGTAATGTAACAAAACAAATTTGAAAAGTAATTAACTGCTAGTGCTTTTTAAAACCTAATTTACACATTTACATTAAATATATATATTTCTTTAAAAATCTTGTTAGCTTCATAGATAAAAATTATAATGTTTTTGACTATTTAAAGAAATCAAAAACTGAATAGGGTCAATATATTCCTCTAAACTCATTATTGTTTCTACAAATAGAAGGTTTGAGATTGATATTTTACTTTTTCTATATTTGTTAAAGTAAAATCATATGCTATAGAAAATTTTAATTATCAAATTGTAGTTTTACTTACTCAATTTACGTCTCTTTCATTTTCATATATTTTGAGGTTCACTTTCAACATGAAAATTAAAATCCATAATAATAAAATAGTACAAATAAATTGAAATAAAATGAAAATGAAAACTATTATAATTTAAATAATTCAGTGTGGTGTATTTATCTCCCAATGTAGTTGGGATGGTAACAAAACCAGCAAATGAGCAAACCCAGGACTTTTCAATACACAATGAAGATTTTCCAGCATTACCAGGCTCCAACTACAAAGATCCAACATCAAGTAATGATGACAGTAAACCTGTAAGTTTGCCGTAATTTAAAGAAAAAACAATTCATACATACACACACATGAATGTATGTACTATATGTATGTATTATGTATGTATTTATCTTTAAGAAGGCAGTTAAATCATGGGTAAAAGCCTTAGCCATAAAAGCTGGCTGGATGACTTTGGGCCACTGACTCTGTCTCAGCCCAACCCACCTCAGAGGATTGTTGTGGGGAAAATGGGAGGAGGAAGGTGTGTTGGGCTTGTTTGCCGGCTTGAGTTATTTGGAAAAATAATGATGGAAAATAAAGGAACAAAGAAGTAAACCAGTCCTCCTTGCCCAACCATATCAAATAACAGAAGTAATTAGCAAACGTGGGGACAATATTCTTCAAATGCAATGCTGTATTTATTAATGGAAATTTGCCCAATTTCCATTTGCTTCACTTCTGGTTAAAGGGAACCATTCAGAGAAATGCTTTAGGAAAGCAGTTCGCATAGTGTGGATTGGGGACTTCTGTGGGTCTCCAAGATCCTTTCAGGGGGTCTGCAAAGTTAAATAAATACATTATATTAATATTTCTTAATTTTAAGTTTCCATACAGTACATATAAGCCATGTAAACCAAAAGTCTTTGGAGTCCTCAATCGTATTTAAGAATTTGAAGGGGTTAATCATAGTCTCTCTCTGTTTGGCATGTCTACTTTATCCAGTAAAATACATATGGCTTTGCACAGACCCTGGATTAGAAACCTAAAAATAGCTGAATTCCCTGAACAGAACTTTAATATTGGGAGGACTGAAGTTTAATTTATTGTCATTAAAGCCATTAGTAATTCCAGACAATATTATCTATTATCTATCTATCACCCTTGAATTGTACACAATAGAGAAGCTGTTTGTTACTAACAATGTATTGATACATGGATGATCTTACTTCATATAAATATAGAAATATAAGAGATGAGAGAACTTCCTGTAGGATGCTGTTTTGTAAACACCAGTTAACTAAATTAGCTGGTCATGTATTTTTTTACAATTTTTATATTGATTTTTTTCTTTATATCTCTTAACAGAATTTGAATACATCAGGCAAAACATCATCTAGTGCAGATGGTCCAAAATTTCCTGGAGATAAAAGTTCAACAACGCAAAACAATAACCAGCAGAAAAAGGGGATTCAGGTGTTACCTGATGGTATGTTTGCTAAATCTGCTGTTTTTTTTTACTAATGTAAATTTTTTTACTAATGTTTCAGATGACACTGGTTCTGTATTATTAGATAATACTCTGATTTATGTTTTCTAGGTCGGGTTACCAACATTCCACAAGGGATGGTGACAGACCAGTTTGGAATGATTGGTTTGTTAACATTCATCAGGGCAGCAGAGACAGACCCTGGCATGGTACATCTTGCATTAGGAAGTGACTTGACAACTTTAGGTCTCAATCTCAATTCTCCCGAGTAAGTATTTTCAAATTAATATCATTATTTAATATAAATTAGTCACTTATTTTTGAATAACCACACTTCCAAATTATTTACTAAGGTAAACTAAAAATATAATTAAAATATGCATTCATGCAATTCTCTTCAAGATGTTAATATATAATTCAACAATATTTTAATAAATTGGGTATAATATTCATAAAAATAACACGTCAGAAAAACCACAAATTTGTGATATCATAGAAGTGAGTATATCCCCTCACATTTGGTAAATATTTAAGGAGATCTTTTCATATGACAACACTGAAGAAATGACACTTGACTACAACGTAAAGTAGTGAGTATACAGCTTGTATAACAGTATAAATGTCCCCTCAAAATAATACAACAATAACCATTAATGTCTAAACTGCTGGCAACAAAAGTGACTACACCGCTAAGTGATAATGTCCAAATTGAGGCTCCTCTCTCATCCCCGCACGGGTTCCCACCAAAGTAGTACCTATTCACCTATTCACATTTTTACATGCTTTTGAACTGCTAACTGGACAGAAGCTGGAGCAAGTGGCAGGAGCTAATCCTGCCCTGTTGTACTCAGGTCACTTTGCCAATCATCAAGCCTCCGTTCTAACCACAGAGCCAGCATGTCTTTCTACTCAGTACATAATCCACTATAATATTTTTTAACAATTGATTATCTAGCCTCTGTTTGAAAACCAGTAGTGAAAAAGAAATCACTTCATATATGCAACCTTTTTCACTAGCTGGCAACATATTCAGTCAGGAAGTTATTTGTTACATTGCATCTGAGTTGCAGTTTTTACCCTCTGGTTCTGGTCATCCTAGCTTTGTATGAGCTACAAACATGCTACATATCTTCCCACCTTCCTCATCCAAGCTAATTGATAGAAATGTTGAATAGTACAGAACCAAAGCAATAGCCCTGTGGCATTCCGATGAGACTTTCTTCCAAGTTGAAATGACACTATTATGAGGCATTTTTTTATGCAGTTTCTCAGCCAATTGTGAGTTCAGCAAAAATTATTGTACTCATATTTTACCACTATTTATGAATAAAATGAGACTATCAAAAGTTTTGCACAAGTAGGATATGGTTGCACCATTTTTTGATCCAATTAAGTTTATATCAGATTAATAAAAACAAATTTCATTCATATTTTAATAGTTATTCCAACATATATCTTTTTCAAATATTGAAATAATGCTAATTTAGTCACAATCAAAAACTAATATGACATATGATTAATGATACGCATAAAAATAATATGACTAAAAAAAGTGTTAGTTTGTTGATAGTTGTATGTTAATAATTGATTGCTGCAACAACATGTAATGGCAATGACAAAATAGTAACACGGTGAAACATCAACTTAATACATTAATTTTAGGACGGGATTGTCTATAACAGGGGTGTAAAACTGGCCTCGCCCACAGGCCACCCCAGCTCCGTGAATGGGGAAAATGTCATAAAACGACATCACAGCAATGTGATGCCACGAGTTTGATACCCGTGGTCTATAACATCTCAATTCTTTCAAAAATATAAGAGTCAAATGACAGAAGTACATTTATTAATTCAGAATAAATTATGAGTTGCATTATTTGTGATGATTATGATTGCCAGAAGTTGGTATTATGTTGTATTGACATAATGGCATAATTTCTTCAATGACAACATTATACCACAATATAGAATTATATTTAATTGCTTCATCTGGCCTACTTAGGATCTAACAAAGTTACTTGTTATTATCAATAAAGTATTGGTAGTATTGATAAGAGAGTATTATAGTATATAGCAATTCGTGAAAATAATTAAGTCATCTTGGCATATCTTTTTATACTGAATATTAGGTTCTAATTTAATATGTAAATATTGATACATCCTATTTTGTTAAAATTAATCACATTTCTTCTAGTATTGAATATTATTAAATATTTTCTCACTATTTCTAATCAGTGTTTTGTATTTATTGTAATATCTAATTCTTGGTATTAATCTAGTTCCAGATAATCTGTTTAAATTAGATAGCGTGCAAACCAGCCTCTGTTTTTATATTTGAAGAAACAGCATTTTGAGAAGGAATAATCTTTATCAATTATATATATATATAAATATTTTCTGTACAGAAATCTTTACCCCAAATTTGCATCACCTTGGGCTTCTTCACCCTGTCGACCTCAAGACATAGGTAAGGTTGATCAATTAATATATCTATTTTTAACTTGATATACTCTTAATATTCTTGAAAATCAGTATCATGAGTTAAGAATTAAATCACATCTCATTCCCTTATCCAGACTTCCATGTTCCTTCTGAATACTTAACAAATATTCACATTAGGGATAAGGTGAGTATACTTTATGGTCCCTTAACAGAATAAAGTAGAAATAAAAAAAATTCTCAGGCTGTTATATTTATGACAATCTGTATATATCGTATTAACATCTAATGGCATAAATGAAGTGTCATTCTGCAGTAATATTAATTTAATGAGCTGTTTTTTGGATGAATATATGTAAATTGTTTCCAATGCTAAAAAAAATCTCTATATAATTGCTAAATATTATTCCTACATTTTCCTTTTATGGTATGCATTTATTCTATATTTTAGAGAAGTTTCTTTAAAATATAAAGTATCTTAATAAATAGTTTTAAAAAGTTTTATTAAATAAAATTATTTCATTTGCTCTTAGTTTATATTTTGGAAGAATAGATAGACATTTTTTATTAACATACATTCTACTTTAACAGTATAATCAATCTATATATTGTACAGTTTTGCTATTTCCATTGAAAAAGTATTACTGTGTTTTCGGAATTTGCATGTATGTAAAAAATGGCAGTCTGATGAAGTACTTAAAACAATTATATTTGCAGAAGATTTATTTTATCAAATGCCAGAATTCTAATTACCTACAGGCAGAGTACAGAATTATAATGGTATGATAGAAAACAAGTTCTAAAGTAAAAATTTTCTAATTCTTCACTTAGTTCTCCCAAATAAGTAAATTATAGTAGGATACTTCACACACTGACATTATTGCATTAAAGTAAAATATATACTTGGATAGTGGTTCATAATGCACATTCTCTTAGATCCTGTTCAAATATAATACAAGTATGGATGCTGCTTGTCATCTCTACTTAGTTATGCCTGACAGAAGAATAGCTAAACAGACTAGGAAATCTTTACCACTGTTCTGTCTGTCATTATATCAGTACTAAGAGGTTTGGTTTCAATCTCTCCTAACTATCAGGAATTTTAAGTTATGTGTGTGGTAATGATTTTGCTTTATTGAGAAATAGTACTTCTGGTTTAGGTTTAATACTAATGGACAGAGATTCTCTGGTTTGTTTTACCATTCTTACTGAACATAGCAGTGCGTACCAGTGCCTGCTGGGAGCACCAGGTACCATTCTGGTATGGTGCTCCGGAGGGCCCGCCCACTTGCTCTCCTTACCGCTATTTGAGCCGATTGGGGCATTTGTGCATGCTCACAGAGTGTATGGTGCCTGCGCAGTGCTCCACTGAGCAGCTGGAGCATCGCGAGCGGTGGGTACGCATGTGCGCGTTGCACACATGCTCATGGTGGGCACCCGACCCAGTTGCAGCGTACTTGTTGCAATGGGATCCGGAACCCACCACTGGAACTTAGGTACCAGAATAAACATTGGGGAAATTTAGGGAAGCCAATTAAAAATTCTGGCAGCCCTTCTGTCTCTTACCAACTACATAGATGTATATGTGTAACATCAAATAATTAATTCATTTCTAACATCTTTATTTTTTAATCATCTTTTAGTAATATAAATAAAACTTAAATTGGATTTTGAAAGTCTTTTTTTTTCTCCCTTTTCAGTTGGCTGCAATAAAGCTTGGTCGCTATGGGGAAGATCTACTCTTTTATCTCTATTATATGAATGGAGGAGATGTATTACAACTATTAGCAGCAGTAGAGCTGTATGTCATGTTTTAGTGAATTTTGTCATAGAGGATATTCAGATTCACTTTTTAAAATCATGAATAGCTTTTCTTTTAAAAACAAATTAGTATGCAAATTACTGTAGCATGGAAATTCAAGCAAAAACTATTCAATTTTTTTTTTTAAAAAACCCTTCTACTTGTAGACTTTCTTCATGGTGCAGAAGTATGTGAGGCGTATGGAATCTTTTAGATTAGTAAACATGCCTGGAGTTTAGAAAAGACATTATGGATTCTCACAAAAATGATTCTATTCAGCAGACTCCTGTATTTATAAATAGTCAGTTTTGATAAGTGTTTCTTTTTTCTATAAAACTCTCAAATATTGTAAGGCAAGCAGCTCCAATTTAAATATTTAAATATTTCCTTCAATGAACCTACCATTTTATTTAGGTTAAGTGCTGAAAAGAAAATTATAGTATAAAAATAGTTTTATAAGCTATTGTTGCATATAGAACATACTTAATATAGTTGTATAGATAAAGGTATTTTGTTAATTCTAATTTTGCTTTTTAACAAATTTAAATCAGTCCAGCTAATAGAATCTTCTTTTTCCTGATTGGATGACGAAAGATTTAATCGAGACTGGAGATACCACAAAGAAGAGAGAGTATGGATTACCAGAGCACCAGGCATGGAGCCAACAATGAAAACCAATACATATGAGAGGGGAACATACTATTTCTTTGATTGTCTTAACTGGAGAAAAGTAGCAAAGGTATTTTTTTAGATAGATCTTTAAAATACATGTTATTTATTACTGTAGGGTTTTTTCATTAAAGATTCTTATTTGGGAGTATGGAGTCTTTTGGATTAGTAAACATGCTTGGAGTTTAGAAAACACACTACAGATAATTGCAAAAAAATTACTGCTATTCAGCAGGCTTCTCTATTTACTGAGACATGCTGACTAGTACTAGTTTAAAATGCAATGACATCTCATTTCTAAAAATTTGTACCAGGTGAATGAAGGTGCATATATGGTGGAAGAAAACTGTTTTAAATTTATTTAATGTCAGTTGCCTTGGGTCAGTTTTCATGCACTGTGTTTTTATTTCAACTGTAACTGATCTTTTATTTCTATGGATCAGAAACATATCCTGACTCCCTACTAAATGAAGCTTATTTTTTGGTTTTCAATATGCTTTTTTTTTTAATTAAACAGATACGGGATGAGCTGATTCAGCTGAGGTAATACAAGCTTTGTGTTGTGAAGTTATCTCGGATTGATCTGCATCTGTGAACCCTGAAGAAGTAAACAGGGTTCTCTGTGCTATTAGCTTCTACCTATAGATTAGTTTCTTGCTGTATCTATTTGGTGAAAGTATAGGAAGATGAGAAAATGCTGGGTAAATGCATCCTTGAGTGAGGAAGTGATGCCTTCCACTAGAAAAGGGGATGATGTCTTACATCTCAAGAAACAATAGCTGGAACTAGTAATTGGCCATTCTCAGACACCATTCTCTTTTTAGGGACATTAGCAGAGATTGAACCATAGTTACAAAGAACCTGGCTATATCAAATCAACTGATTTTAGTCAGGATTCAAGCCAGACTGCCATGAGAGATTGAAACCATATTGTTTAGTCTCATTGATGGCCTTTAATAGGGTCAGGATAGATGGATTTGACTTGTCTTGATGGCCCTCTCAGCAGCTTTCAGTATCGTTTATCATGCCCTTAATTGGGTATACTCTTTCCTAAGTGGCCAATTCCAGTTAGTGATGATGAGTGAAGGGAGATCACTTTTCAGCCATTTATTTACTATTTGGTCCTTGCTTTCCCACAGTGTAACATCTACATAAAACTATGGAAGAGCTCAGCTGCTGGCACAGAGTGACATATAAACAGCATATTGATAATAGGCCATTATGTGTCTCTACTTCAGCCAGACAAGAGATGTAGTGACTGACCCAGTGCCTGAGGATTTTTAGGGGAAAAGTAGGAGGAAAAATAGGTTAGGACATACAAAGAAAGACTGGTTATAGCTGAATCCAACTGAATATAGAAATAGTTCATCTTTTATTCATTTTATTGCCTTTGATAGAATTGGCTTGCAAGTTGAGGTCCTTTTGGAGTCCTAGCTTCTAGTTGAACAGCAGGTGGATTTTATGACCAGGAGAAACATCGCACAATTTCAACTTGTGTATTAATTGTGGTCTCTCCTTGGTTGGTAGTCCTTGTAGCCACACATGTTCTTGCCACTTTGTCACCAGTTGGATTATTGCAGTTTACTGTAGATGGAACTACCTTGAAAACTGTTTGGATTAGGTAGTTATGAGTGCCCATGCCACAGTAGTATTGTGGGAGCTGTGTTGCTATCAGTTACTTTCTGAATGAAAGTGTCAGAAAGCCTTGCTTAGGGCCTAGGATATCTCTGAATTGAATTTACTATTCTAACAATATCTGGGAGAAAGTGAATGCCATCTTCAGGGAGTTTGAATTTGAGCCTTCTTGATGAAGGCCTCCTTCCTTCTGAGGAATACTAGTCCACTGCTTTCTTACTACATTTTTGGAGAATTGCAAAAACATGACTTTGAAAACAATTTGGAAATTAATAAGATCACACTATCCCCAAATAATGGTCTATTGGATTGAATTGTGATTGTATTAATTTATTTCTGTTTTTAATCCTATTACTTACTACCGTATGCCATTCAGTTTCTGGAAATAGCAAGGCATATATGTATGTGTATATGTATATGTATATGTATATGTATATGTATTTCTATAAAGGAAAGATGGCAGCTCCGATCACACTTTAAGCCCAAAACCCAGCCTGAAGATGGCGAGTGAGACCTCGCTGAAATGTTGCCAAGACAATTTCAATCTTACACGGGCTAAGACCCGAATACAACAAGACCAGCATACCTACACCTCTGAAAATCTACAAAAACGTGTGTGTGTGTGTGTGTGTGTTTTCGTAGGTATGCTGGTCTTGTTGTATTCGGGTCTTTTTCCATGTAAGGTTGAGATTGTCTTGGCAACGTTTCGGCGAGGTCTCACTCGCCATCTTCAGGCTGGGCTTGGTGGGTGTATGTGGAGTGCTGGCTTTGTTTCAGTAAGTGGAAGGATTGGTTGTGTGGTTGTATCATGATTGGTGCTGATTGGTGCTGGCTGTGTGTCCGTTGTTACCTCCCACCTACCAGACATCTGGAAACCAACCCTAGTCAACAAACAAGTCCCACCCACCACCCAGACTGTTACAACACGAAACAACACCGGACACACAGCCAGCACCAATCTACCAATCAAGATACAACCACACAACCAATCATTCCACTTACTGAAACAAAATGTTGTATTTGGGTCTCTTCCCGTGTAAGATTGAGATTACATGGGAAAAGACCCGAATACAACAAGACCAACATACCTACACCCGTGAAAATCTACGAATATATATATACTATGCTAATAAAGTGAATAAATTGTCCTTATTGTGTGTAAGTAATAGAAATATAATATTATCAATGGGAGAAAACTAGTAATATTCTTGAAGCACTTAATAATGAAAAGCATTTTACTTAATTACCACTCCAAAACATGCCTCTTAATAGGGAGATATTAAACTATAATTTGTACCTTTCTCTGCTTCTTCAAGTATGACAAGATAAATATTTTACTTTTAGAGGGAATAGATGGAGATTGATTTTGTTCTTTGCATAACAAATACTACAAATAGTTACTTGCAGAATATGTACCAGTCTACTTGTTGACTGATCTATCACAAGGATCACTGAAGATAGGGAGGCATTCTTTTTCTTGAACCTAAGATTTTTTTAAAAATAAATCTCTTACCAGAGCCAATCAGCCTTCAGCAACCCTAAGCTACACATATTAACTTCTATTGAGATTCATCCCTGATACCGAAATGAAAGAGAAACATTTGTGCCATCTTTTGTCTAATTTCTAGCAATTAATATTTGATTGTTTTCTTTTCAGGTACTTTTAAAAACAATTCTTGAGAAAATATTCATCCATCTTGGATTTTATAAATGGTTGCATATCTTTGCTGCTAAATATTACCCAAGCTTCACAGAGCATATATTGATATATTGATAAGCAATGATTGTTTTCTGTTGATTTTAGTTATTTCATAATTAAAATAATCCAATATGCATTGCAAACGTGAAAAATAATTGCCTCGCTGGTTTAGTCAGTTCAATTACAGTTTACAGAAATGAAATATTGTATTCTATAATAAAAATATCACAGCTATTAAGCATAGAAGTAGACCTGTCATGGTTTGAATATGTTTTACTGCCTCAGAAGTTGAAGAATTTATCATAATTACAGAAAGTTTAAAATGTTAACAGTATTGGAGAATTCCACAAAGAATTCTGTCCACTAGCTGAAGTTTAGGTGAGTCATGTAAGAAGGCAGTGGTCCCTAATGAATAAGCAAGGCTACAATGGACTGGAATAAGAGAATAAATTGGTAGTTTGGAATGGTGAAGTCAAAATCCAGACCTCAGCCTCATTAAAATGCAGGAGTTGAAATAGGAGTTCATGCTAGAAAACTCCCATGTCACTGATTTAAAATATTTGTCCATAAAAAAACCAAAAAAACTAGGCTAATAGAACATAGTGATGTGGAAGACTGATTGGCTGTTTATATTTACAGCTAAATATGGTGTAGTTAATATAAGGGTGTGATTACTTTTCATATTGGCACATATATTGGATTATCTTTATTTTGAAATAAGCTCCAAACATTTATGTCTTTATGGAACCCACATTAAATTCTGATAACATTCATTGGCAAAAATATGCAGAAATTTAGAAAATCTGACAGGAAGCAAATGCATTCTCACAGAATTGTATTTTCTCAATACTAACAAATCTCTTTCTATTTTGAATTCTTCATTTTTAAAAACTTAAACTAGCTGCAGTTAGATCTCATGTAGATGGTATAAAATAAATGTAAGACATATTGCAAACTTCAAAAAATTGTGACTTTTTAAATATTAAATTTAGGCTGTAAAAGGCTTTTCTAAGGAAGTTTATCTATTTGAAAGAAACAATGCTTTCTTTGAGTTAATTATGCACTTATATGAATCATTAATTCTAATGACCTGTTGGCTGATAGTAGAATAATTACCATTGTTTGGGTTTGTAGGAGTTCCATCTGGAATATGATAAACTAGAAGAACGGCCCCATCTGCCATCTACTTTCAACTACAACCCTGCTCAGCAAGCCTTCTGAAGACTTCCCTCTTGTCTTGGGGTATGGCTGTCTCAGCACAATACTCAACATAACTGCAAAACTGAAGTGGCTCAGGCATCCCGGTTTTAATTCCTTTTGAGGATCTGGCAATTGGTTCATGCAAAAGGGTCACCATTTGAAGTCCTGCCTTACTAATTATGTGCTGCCCAACAACTAAATTTATAATTTGTTTTCCTTTAGTTTGAGCAGGGTCGGATTTTTTTTTATATTATTTTTATTTTTTTGCCAGCAGACAAGCTTGGGTCTGTAAAGACAAGCAAGTACACTGACAAAAGTTTACTACTTAGTTTCCAAAATGTAAAAAAAGGAAAAAAGAAACAAAATAGACAATAAAATTTGCATTGTTCATTGTAGCACTCTTGGTAATAAAAAAAATGTTTGTGCATTTTTATGTGAAGATCCTTCTCGTATTTCATTTGGAAAGATGAGCAAGGTCTGCTTCCTTCATTTTACTTCCCCTTCAGTTTTTGAAAAGGCAGTTTTCGCCAACTTAATGCAAGAATATCTGTTTAGAAGAAAGATATTGCCACAACTTATGGTTCATTTCCAAAGTTGTGTGTTAACTGAGCTTCATCTTTCCAGAATGAGCAAAACACTGTCCAGTCTTTGTTACGATTTTGTAATAAATGTGTACATTTTTTTTAAATTTTTGGACATCACATGAATAAAGGTATGTATGTACGAATGTGTATATATTATATATATGACATCTATTTTGGAAAATGTTTGCCCTGCTGTACCTCATTTTTAGGAGGTGTGCATGGATGCAATATATGAAAACGGGACATTCTGGAACTGCTGGTCAGGGGACGTCTATGTCGCCCTGTGCACTAAAGGGCCAGATCTCAGCAGCCAAGGACATCCATACCCAAGTGAATGTGATGGGACTTAACGAAGTGAACTGAAACTATTCACTCTGGCTGTTTGAACAGCAGCGTTTCATAGGAAGAGAAAAAAAAAAGATCAATCTTGTATTTTCTGACCACATAAAGGCTTCTTCTCTTTGTAATAAAGTAGAAAAGCTCTCCTCACTGCAGTGTTGACTTTGATTTGAAATTGTGATATCATTTCTTCAACAATGAAAATATATAAAAAGTTGAAGTATTAAAAATGCAAAGCTATAAGATGATTGTGGCACTTAATATGAAGAGTAGTTTTGCTGCAGAAATTTCATGAATAAGAGTTGCATACTTTTCCACTATAGCCTAAATGCTTGATTAAACATGTTGTCATGTCCAAACAGATCAGCATAATAAAATAATGTATGTTAAGCCGTTGGGATGGATTAGTTGAGCAATCAAGGAAGGTGGTCCAAAAATTCACATTGAAATAACTTTGTGTCGGTATGTTGTTTAAAACTTTTGAGAGGAGAGAAACATTTCATTTGATGCTTGATTTTTTTTTCCCTGGAGGTTCAAAACCAAACCAACATGAACACATTCTATTTGTGAAAAGCACTGTAACTATATTATTTAGACTGTGAGTAGAAGAAAGTGTATATCCCTTTACTGTTTCAAATTTAACTCAGCTATTATATTGCAATCAGATCTTAAAAGTTGGTGCAATTTATCTGAAATTACCAAAGTAAGAAAATACAGCAGAATAATGTCAGTGAAATGTTTTATTTTTTTTTCTATATAGTGTAAAAGAAAATTGTTGGCTTTTTAAAAAAAAAACTTTGGGAAATCAGCTGCTAGTATTATATTTCTATATCAGGTGTACAGCAAATAAAATTCTACATTTTATATGTATTTTGGGTTAACTGGCAGACATAAAAATATAAAAAAGACAACTGTCATTTTATTATTTAACGCAAAGCACTTCCTCAGGCTGAGCAAAGTTATCTCTGGTAACATATATCATGCAAATATTTGTTGCTCCATTATTTAAATACAATTTACTAATTACAAGCTTTTCAAAAAGAATGAAAATATTCACAATTTCATAATATTTACAACCTTGACCTAGAAACATTATGTCATAAAAATTGTTAATACAGCTGTGATCTCTTAAATTGATTTTTCCATTGTGTGCTTAATTCATGTAGTCAAGTGCTATTTAAAATTAAAGTTATGGGGTGATTGCAGGACAAGTTCATGCCCAACTAAGCAATGTATCTTAATTAAGAATGTTGCTGTTTCAAAAGACCATGGCTTTTAAAAAAAATACAACTTTAGATGCACTTTATTGTGGTCTAATTTGCAATATTGTACGTTTACAAACCTTTTGGTTAAATTAAACAAGAACAGGATCCATTATATGTTAATGCTAACAAAATAAAGCATTACATGCTGTCAATTAAAGAAATTCTACCTAGATTGTCATTAATATGGAGTCAAGAATTGACAGTGATGATTTACCAAACAACCATGCATTTCAACTTATTACATGTGATCTACTTAACATTGAATTTCATATTTTGTGAATAATATGTATGTAAGAGAAAAATATTTACTGAGCCGTTCCAGCAATCTTTTATGAAAATTTCAGAAAAGACTTAAATTTTTGCATGAAAAATACAATTAAAACTGGAAGCATTTGATAAAGCCATATTAATTAAACTAATCCTTTTATTGAAGTAAGAGAGTGTTTACAATCCGTTTATTCTTGAATAGCTCTAATAGCATTAATAGGCTCTACTGAAACTGCATCTTACAGCAAATAAGTAATAATTTTATAGTGATTATTTATTGCAATAAATTTAATAATTTATTGCATTTGTATCCCCTGGACTGAGAAAGCAACTTAAGGCAGTTTACTGCCTTACGTCATAAAACATAAAATAGAATAAAAACCTGGTATCTAAATAAAACACAAATCTGTCATAATACATTGGGCACAGAGGTTGTAATTCATTACCCCAAATCACTCTGGAACAGGTTTGTCTTTAATAGCTTCCAGAAGGCTGCCAAAGAAGGCATCAGCCTAATTTCAAGAAAAACACTGGAAAAAGAGAATTCTAAGCAAAAAAATGCTACCTGCAGTCCCTTCATGTATTTGAGGCATCATTAAAAGATGGTGAAACAATGGTGCAAAGGGTAAGTTAGGCTGCTTCTATGTGAAGAAGATGGTTCTTCCTTGCTGCCATGGTTATATGTTAAGACCATCACTTTGAATTGCTCCAGGAAATACATTGGTAACCCCTGTTGTGACCATAGAATAGATGTAAGAATACAATTGATTTGATTGGCTATCTAGGACCTGATACATTTTACATCAATTGTAGTTTCTGAGCAGTCTTCAGAGTCATCTCCATATAGGTTGCTTTGCAGTAATCCAAGTGAGTGGTGGTATGGTGGTTAATATCACGATTCAATATAATTTCACTTAAGTTGAAACACCTCAAATAAGTTTCTAAATATATATTCTCAAGTTAGTAAACTAATTTTATTTTCAGTTCATTCTAACATCCCCTTATGTTTTTATTTCATTCTGTATGTAAACAACTGTCGCAAGATACAGATAAAAACATTTTTCAGCAGGAAATTTACATGATCTGTTTTTAATGTAACACTAAATCTGATGCAAAGGGGTCATTGTATACACTAGCTTGCCAGTGACAATGTCCACAGGAGTGCATTTTAAGGCCAGGGCCTTTGAAGAAATCTTATCGTGTTCTTTTATATTGCTCTCCATCCTTGCAATATCTTTCTTATCATATTTATGTAGCATAGAGGGATGGGTATCATTTTTCTCTACTCTTAGCTGGTTTTTCTTAATCATCTTTTCCCAAAGAAATATTTTGGTTGATATATCTTCATGATAGAATTGCTAAGATATTCACATAGCCTCTTTAAATTGTGTATTTTAGTTTACAGTGCTTTCTATTAGAGATAATAATTTCAAGACTTTAAAAAGTATTACATATGTGTTTATGTTTTTAGAAGTATTCATTTCCTTTCTATATTTTTAATTAATGTAGAAGAATCCAGCCCAGTGTTTGGAAGTCAGAACCAGAACCTATATCTAATAAAAATACCTGGATCAGATAATACAGTTTTCCCCCTCTTCCAATATCTATGGGAAAGACATAATATTTTGAAAATCAAAATACCAAGGGAAATAAGTTAATTCTTCATCCTCAATTTGGATGAATCTGGAAATTGGCAGTTATAAACACAATTAGCCTATAGTTTGATCCTTTGATAGGTTGCTTGTTGGTGATGGTGTCGTGCTCAGAAGCAATCTAAACTTAGGCTTTAAGGCCCCTTTAAACCAACTGGTTTTATTATACCCTTGGTTTTAATAGGACTTACTTTGGAGGCCTGCGTAAGTTCTATTTGAGTTTGTGGGGGCATATCACCTAGATTGTAGTTTTGATTATGGCTAAGGTCTGAGGTTATAGTTGGGTCAAAATAGGAAGTGTGCTTGCCTCTTGTTGTCTTTCTATAACAGTTTTATTTTTATTTTTTTTATGGTATTTTGGATAAGTATATGGTGGGTAAATGTTGACACATGTTGGAATAGATAAAACAGAATATTTGGGTCCAGGTTTGTATGTATGGTCCTTTATTTCAATTTGGTTCTTACTTTATCTTCCCCTGTCCTCTGAAAAACATAAGACGTTAATGTCATATTTATACATTATATCTTGCATTTCATTTGCTAGAGATTGATTCTTCAAAGTGTTATCCTGATAGTAGCAACCCTGTAAATGGTGGTTAGTTAAAAATAATTACTGCATCATGTGAGCTCCATTATCAATTTAGTGTTACTTATAGTGTTTTCTACTCTGCTTCCATCATTTTAAACAACAGAAAGGACATAGAGAGTCTAGGATGACTTGCTGCTTCCAGCTTACTGCAAGACAAGAGTTACATTAATATCGAAGAAATTATGGAATAGAATCATTAAAGAAAAGATGCAAAGGGAGGAACAAAATAAACTATGAATGACAAAAATTAAAATATTTTTGAAATAATTTTAAATGATTAAATTGAATGGTTGATTGTACCGCAGTGAGTTTGCCATGTCAAGTTGTCCTACGGCGAGTTAGTTGCAGTGAGTTGGCTGTGGTGAGTTTCCTCATTCTGGGACGGAAGAGCACACTGGCAGATTTGTTTTTATTTATAAAAGAGAGTATAACATATACAGTTAAATATACATTAGATATAGGGATGAATTATCTATCACTTAATGCAGGGGCGTCAAACTCCCGCTCCGTGGACTGGGTGCTTCATGTGCTGGCCACGCCCACACCCAGTTTAGCAAAGGGGTGGAAAGTCCCAATGCGTCATGTAACGACGCCTTGACAATGCAAATTTAACACCCCTGATCTAATGTAAGATGTAAAAATTGTGGAATTGCAACTGCATAATGCTATTAACATTTTAGCTTATTTTCAAGAGAAAAAAGCTAGCAGAATCCAACAGGCACATTTTATGCCAGAAAATAAGGCTTTTAAAAAATGATTGAAAAAGGGCCATTTTTTCCCAGAATACCTGGAAGTTACTGAAAGCCATAATAGCACATATTCAGTTGGAAAGTATTCCACAGTGTAAGAAAGGATGTTAAGTTTGTAAGAGGCCTAGCTTTCAAGAACTCTTAAAGAGGTTATAAATATTAAGCCCTTCCCAAGAAAACCAGTCCTAACAAGGAGAACAAAGAGCATTGACAGAAAATGTGAGGTGTCGCATTGGAATGCAAAAAAGCATATGGGCAAAAAAAAAAAGAAGCAATGAGAATTTCAAAACTGATAATTTCAAGAAGAAAACTAACCAGGAAAATAGATGGGCTGTTAAATAATAAGTAAAAAAGAGGGTTAAGGATGATGTAGAAATTGCAGCAATTAATATTACTTTTCCTGAAGGAAACATGTAAACTAGAGAGAGGCCATATTGATTTTGCTCAGGGAGGGAATTAAAACAATTAAAATAAATTCAGAAACAAAGTATTCTTCATTACATCATGGAATAATGTTCATAAAATGGTTGGGTTAAAAGGGGATTGGATGGAGGGCAAAACTACCAAGAGCTGGGCAAGGCAGTTCTCCAAATTATATTTGTATTAGTTATAGGAACAACAATAGAAG